CCCCACCACCCTCCCATCCAACTTCTGCCCTGCTGCGCCACCGAGTCCTTCATTTTCTTTTCTGCCAGGGAGCGAGGACATTTGGTATCTGTTTTTTTTTAGAGGTTTTTTTTTTTTTTGCTATAGGATGCATGCGCTTGCCAGAGAGACAGAGATAGAAAGCAAGAAATCACCCCCCACCCAGGAGGGTTGGCCACGCTGCAATCCCTTCTCCTCCATTCTCCTCTCAGGATCTTGGGCATGCACGCACACATGCCTGACGTGAGTTTAAGCCACCGGGTCCTGGACTTGAACCGTGGTTGACTACATGGGAGTCCAGCGACATAGCCGTTAAGCCAACTGCTGGTCCCTTAGTATCTGTTAAGAGGGGACAGACACTATTTGTCTTTCATTGCCTGGCCTATTTCACTTAGCATTATAGCTTTTAGGTTTGTCCTAAATTTTAATTTGCCACCAGAGAGAGAAGGAGAGAGAGAGGGAAAGTGAGAAAGCAAGCCTCCAGGTCCAGCACTCCGACTGCAGTTGGCCATGTAGGAGTCCAGCGCCCTAACCACCATGCCACCTGCTGGCCCCATTTTTCTGGACAAGAAAACCAAAGCCCAGAGAGTTGAAGTAATATGTCCAAGTGAAATGCCTAATAAATAGTGGAGCTGGGATTTAGACCTTGGCCTCTGATTCCAGAAGTCTAATGCTTTGCACTCATATTATTCTACTTCCTCAGCATCTAATTATAACTAGATATTTTTGATACGTAAATAAAATCTGTGGTAGAAAAGGATAGCAGATGTGGGAAATGTTATCAGCCACTTCTCCTTTCCACTTTCGACACAAGTCATTTTATTGTAGAAAAAGAGTCCCAGTAACACAAAGACAAGCTGCATTCGCCCAGCAGTACAGTTAAATATGCGCTCTTTAGTTGTGCTGCAGGACTCCTTCACATTTTTTAGGTATTCCTGGGCTAGTAGGTGGCACGGAGGTTAAGGTGGCTGGATCCCACATGGCTGGCTACACGGTTTGAGTTCTAGATCCAACAGTTTAAAGAACACACCAGGCACATGTGCATGCATATCCAGAAATCCGAAGAGGAGAGTGAAGGAGAAGATTGCAGCATGGCCATCCTCTTGGGGGTGATTTCTCACTTTCTCTCTCTTTTTCTCTGTCTTTCTCTAGTGGAAACATGTCCCCTATAGGAAACCAAATAAATAAATAAGTATTCTACATTAATACTCAATTTTTAAAAAAGAGTCATTTCATTTTATTTATTATTATTATTTTAAAATTTGCTATAGCGCACCTGCACTCACCAGAGAGAAAGAGAGAGAAAGTGAGGAAGCAAACTGCCAGGTCCAGGACTTGAACTGCTGTCAGCCACGTGGGAGTCCAGTACCTTAACCACTGTGTCACCTGCTGACAGCAATACTGAATTTTTAAAATATAGTTTTTTCCTTTATTTGTCACAGACTATGCGTGCGTGCATGTAAAACCAAGGAGGAGAGAACAGCGTTCTCTATAGGGTCTGGTCACCCTGCAGTCCCCTCCCTGCAGTCTGCAGCCGGCAGGCCCTTTGGTATTTCCTCTTGTGCCCAGCTCAAACCATGGGTGCCATGGAGGATCCAGCCTCTCTTGAGTAACGAGTGCATTACTGCTGTGCCAGAGAGCTGGCCCACAGCCGTTCACTATATGCCTCATCTTTTATCCGCAGCACCGTTTTCTTAGATTATAAAGTGTTTTTTAAAATAATTATTTAATTTAATTTAATTTATCCATTTGTTTATTTATTTTAATTTGACCTGCCAGTTCCAGGATTCAAACCGCAATCACCCATTTGGGAGTCCAGTGCCCTTAACCACCACACCACCTCCTGGCCCCTTAGATGATAAACTTAACAGAGCTACAACCATCTGTTTCTACTGTGCTCAGGCACTTAGTGCTTTTTGACGAGATTATGGCTGTGTAAGAGATGCAAGTTAGAGTCCCCATCTCTGCAAGGGCGAAAAGTACTTGAGGTGAATAATGAAAAATAACGGACGCGCGAGGTCTCCAGCGGCTCCTGTAAAAGGCCTTTGTCTCTGCTCCTCTCCTGTTGTCAGACGCCCTGGCCACGCCTGTCCAAGTAACACCGTAACAGGGCAGGGACATTCTGTAAGGTGGAGTCACAGACTTCTCTGAACTGAAAACTCACGCTCGCTCTGGAGTAGGGGCCTAGATCTCATCTGGAGGTCCACCCCCCCCCACCCCGCGCATCGCCCTTTCGTGTTCTTTTTGCATGCTTTTCGTGTCGTGTGGCTCGGTCCTGCTGCTGCTCTTCCGGCCATGCTACATGTTTTTGCAGACACAATCTCAGTAGGGAGGAGCCAGAATGCCCTCAGTCCGAGTCCTGGCCCTGCTGCTGTGAGCTCTGTGATCCTGGACAAATTAATTTGCTAGGCCTCAGTATCCTAATATTTAAAGGTAATTATGGGGAGTAAATTAAATGCTATATTTATAATTTCTGCTTTTAAAATATAGCATTTTCAAAGTGCTAAAGTACTACGCTGTCTAGTGCTTTAAAACTGTTAATTTCCTGGGCTAGCCTAGCGGTCAGGTGTTTAAGGGAGTTGGATCGCAGGGGCTAACCATGCAGTTTCAATTCTGGTCTCTGCAGCTTAAAAAACATGCCAGAACCTGTGAGATTCAAGTCTCTACCCTGGTGGCTTACAGATCACGCTGGGCGCGCATGCATGTGCGCCCATAATCCTGAGAGGAAAACAGAGGAGAAGAGATTGCGGTGTGGCCATCCCCCCCCCCCCCCCGGGGCATGCTTTCTCACTTTCCCTCTCTCTCTCTCAGCCTCTCTCACTGGCGAGCATACATCCCCTAAAGCAAGCAAATAAAACATGCTAGCACATGTGTGTGCATGCCCAAAGTTCTGACGGCATGAGGAGATGGAGAAGGGGCGGGGTGCGACCACACCCGCAGCGTGTGCTTGATCTCTCCCTGGCACCTCTGTGCGCCCTAGGGCACGTTTAAAACTCTGTCTCCTGACTGCCCTCTTCAGGCATTCGGAGAAGCCTGCATTTGCTGACTTGAATCTTTTTTTGCTCAGAGATACAGGTCACTTTCCAGTTGCAGAATTACTTTGAGAACTAAATGAAAAATATATTTTAAAACTATTATTATTATTATTATTATTATTATTATATTTTTGCTGTAGGGTGCGTGTGCTCACTGGAGAGAGACAGAGGCAGAGATAGGGAAAGTGAGATATCCATGCCACAATCCCCTCTCCTCCATTCTCCTCTCAGGATTTGAACACACATATGCATGCACCTGGCATGGTTTTCAAGCAATCAGTTCCAGAACTTGGACCCCAGGCGGCCATGTGGGGAGTCCTGTGCCTTAACCACCTCACCACCTGTTGGCCCAATAAATTGTTATTTTTAAAGAGGGAAATGAAAATACACTTGGCTTTTAAAAAATAAAAGTACAAACTTATTTGCCAACCCTTTTTTCTATTACTTTTAATTTATCATGTAGAGTGCATTTGTATGCACTCACATGGGGCCCCCTCCACGGCGTCTCCTCACACTGCGGTTCCCTCCCCCCCACTTCCCAGCTCACCGGGATCGTATACATACGCATGCACCTGTATGTCAGCCAGAGCTCTGAATCTGGGTCGGCCATGTGGCTTTCAGTACTGCCGTGAGATGTGCTATTACCAGTGCCACCACGGCTGCACCCGAGCTGTGACTTCAGCATAAACAGGCTGAGAAGCCTGATCTCTCCCAAACCCAAAATGCTTCAAAATCTGAAAATGTTTGAGTGCTCACATGATGCCATGTGGAAACTTCTATAACATAGGTGGAGAACTCCACTAATGGGACAGGTCACAGTCAATATGCTGCAATACAAAAATAATGTATAAAATTACTTTCAGACTGTGTATGTTAGGCGTGTGTGAAACATAAAAGAACTATGTTGTAGACTTTGGTCCCAGCCCAAAGATATCTCATTAAATACATGCAGATATTCCAAATCCAAAGCACTTCTGGTCCTAAGCATTTCAGATAAAGGATACTCGGCCCATATTAGGACCAGCAGTTGGCGTAATGGCTATGTCGCTGGACTCCCATGTAGTTGACCACAGTTCGAGTCCTGGACCTGGTGGCTTAAACTCATACCAGGCGCGTGTGCATGCATGCCCAAGATCCCAAGAGGAGAATGGAGGAGAAAAGATTGCGGTGTGGCCATCCCTCCTGGGGGGTGATTTCTTGATTTCTTTCTGTCTCTCTCTTTCTGGCGAGTGCACGTGCCCTATAGCAAAAACTTCTCAAAAAAAAAAAAAAAAAAAAAGGATACTCAGCCCATATCTTTCTTTTCTTTTCTTTTTTTGGAGAGATTTTTGCTATAGAGCGTGTGCACTCGGCAGACCAGACGAGAGAGACATAGAGACAGAAAGC